AAAGAGAGTCCAGTTTTCTGGAAATATGTCTTTAAGTATTTTAGACATTCCTTGTCAGTATTAGGAATTTCCATGGAAGAAGAGGTTTGCATGCTGGTAATGCAACCTTTGAAGCTTTGTAAAGGAAACATATATGTATATATTTATGTATATGTAAGTATGTGAATGTGTGCATTTTGCATTCCATATGAAGAAAATGCCACTTCTGTTTAAATTATTTGATGTAGGTTTGGGTTTTTTGAGATTTGCTGGTGAAATCAGTGATGGGAAATAAAAGAACCTTCCTTCATCATCCTACCCTGTCCCTCCCTCTAATGAAATCATACTAAGTTTTTTATTTTTGTAATGTACAATTTTTTAAGGGATCATTTTGGAGGGCCTAAAATAATCTAATTAAACCTAAATGAAATTAAGTAATCCAAAGCTGCTGAAGTATGTTTGAACTCTCCAGTGCCCTATAGCTGCAGGAATAAATTAGCCACGCAGTCGTGTGGTAGCAGGATGGCAAGGATATTTATGATTCAGTCTTACCTTCTTTAGGTAACCAAGCATTCAATTAACCAATTAAACCACTGCACTGGGACATGTCTGCACTTGAGCATCTGCAAACTGAAGACAGGATTTTTCTGTTTCTGAAGACATTTCTATATATATATATATATGTACTACAATACTTGATGTATTAATTTTTTATTTCAAGACTTTATGTCTGAGCCTCAGCATAAAATTGAAAAAACCAAATGAGCTCTGTCCTCACATTACTGCCCTAATAGGGTCTCTTGTTTCATCACTGGAATTCCTTTCATTTTGGCACTAATGCTGTCTTCTCTTGTCTAATTTGACACAGTAATGGTAGTGTTGTAGTCGTATTAAATGTTGATCACCTTTTGCTAATGTGGGAGATGATACCTTTATAGTTTGGAAAATGAATAATATATTGTGGCATCAACTGCACCTTTCAAGTAGAAAAGTTAGAGACTTTATACAATCACTTGGTATGGTCTATGTCAAAACCAATAGACCATTCTTCTGGAAGTCAGTTTGATTTTTGCCTTCCATGGTTGTCTCTGGTTTGTTTTTCTGTAAATGCAGGTAGTTAATATCTAAGGAAAGAAGGTTTTTCTAAAACAGAACATTAGCCTTTAAGGTTAGAGAGAACTTAAAACCATGTATCTAGGTTAATCTTTATTAAAGCACTAGAATCTTTGGTCAAAAGTATTTTAAAAGATTAAAATATTGAAATCATTGATAGTTTGCATATTCTCTTCAGATGTTCCTTTTGAACTCCACAACTTTTGGAATATTGCTATCATAAATTTTTTCTTATTTAAAATTTGTTCAGCTGACTATAGGAGGTGAAAAAGCACAACGAAATTAGAGTACATAAAATTTCTGAACTATGTGTTACTTGATCCAGAGGTTCAAAATGTGGGCTAAAAGGTTTTATTGAAATAAAGGCTTTTAAAATAAAAGCAAAAGAAATCATTTTAACATCACTTTCAAGATAGCAAGAGGTGGAAAACTGGCACCTCATGATAACTGACCCTCTAGATCACCAAATTAGTATAACATAGATCTGGTCAAGGGGATCGGGTCATTGGAAATAAAAAGCATCATTACAGTGTCTGTCAGTAACATGGCAGAGGTTCACGATTCAGGTGATAGATAGCATTCGAGCACTTCATTTGCTCTTCAAATATGTACGTGCTTGAGCCATAGTTTCCTAAGTACATAGTTTTTGGTCCTGCTTTATTTAAAAGTTAATGATTATAATTTATTTTGAAAGATTTTACCTGTGAAGCGGAATTCTTTCATTGGTGGTAAGGGTATGAGGTGATCAGGTAGTTTCTTCTGGAATTTGTTTGAAGTCCTTGTATTCTACAATAGACTATGATACCAAGCAAAATGATAGTAAATTCTTTGTCTTTATTTGTTCTTTCGGTCAGGAGGTATTTATTAAGTACCTACTGTGTGCTCAGCACTAAAGGTCGGTTGATAAAATGACAATTTAAGAACAGTTTATAGCCACAGGTCTTTTCCAACCAGGAGCAAAAAAAAAATACAAGATGATTAGTGATACTTGAAAATTCCTGAATATTTGCTAGAGGAAAAACAAGAGCAAGAATTTGTATAGTGCCTTGCCCATAATAGGTACTCAATAAACAATTATTCTTCATAGAGTCTCTTGCCATGGTTTATAGTGTTTTATGAAATTTGTCTTAATTGAAAAAAGACCAAATATTTCAAATAAGCTTATAGGCAGCTGTGGCCAGTTAAAATATGGGGTTGTACAGTTAGTTCCTAGAATGTTATTTTGCACTAGTTGTCACTTAGAAAGATGGGGTTCCTGTAGATTTTTTGGTGCTAAGGGATGCTTTGTCATTATGATAAAGTAAGTGTTAAGTGTCAGATAAATAGCACACTGAATTGTTTTTTTCTGCTGATCTGTTTTTTCCTCTTTGTTGGTGTTTTTAATTGTAAAATGTTTATCAAACTATTGTAGCAGCTACAAAATAATTCACCAGCATGACAAAATGGTCAAAAAATAAGTCATCAGCACTTCAAAAATGAAAGCAACTTTTGAAATTTTCTTTTAAAATTGTCGAATATATTTTATGAAGAATTTATAAAAGGGGGGAAATGATTGTAATTTATTGTTCATGACTTTTTTTTTAAATAAAGTGAGTTTCAACAAAAGAAACCAACCCTGAGAATTCTACGTTACTGCTTTGGTGGCTCTCTGAATAGTCCTGTAGTGCTTTACTTCATGAATGTAATAGAGGATATAAAGTTGGAAACTGTGTCATTTTCAGCCTTATCTATTGAATTAAACTTTCTGTAATAGAAATTATTACTGAGGAAAATAGTATTGAATTATAGGAGTTCCTTTCAGCATTTTAAGTTGTCTAAAATTTTAGTGCTTACTATCTTTCAGTATTTGTCAGAAGAACTTGTATTGCCTGATTTTTTTAAAATTTTTCTATCTCATTAAGCTAAGGATGCATTCCAGACTCAGAATGAAGAAGATGCAGCTTTTCAATCTGTAACTTGAGACTACAATTTCTTTTCCATAAAATCATCTGGCCCACTTTTTTCTTTGCTTTGTAGGTTCTATTATGTATGCCTTCTCCAGAGTAAGCAAAGTACTGAGGATACAGTGCACTTCGTGGTCCAGTGGATCAGCACAGGGAAAAGGGGAGACAGAAAACCTTTGCTAGAGGCAGTGATGAGTAGAAAAGTAGGCATCAGTAATGAGGGCTGCTTCTGACTGCCACCCTTTCCTGGTATAGCCTTTGTAGACCGGCAAATTTTGCTTTCTATTTAAAGATTAATTTTTTTAAGTTAAATCTTAAGCTATAAATACTTGTATTTACTAGCCTTTTTGTAACCCTTTGTAGTTTACAAAGTGCCTTCACATGCTTTTGCATATCTTTTCCATAGGTTTTACTTAAAATATGAGATGGTTTCTTGATAAGGAATTTTTAGTAATAACACCAGTTAATGAGGTAATGGTTTTACCTTAATGCAGGGTTTTAGTGCCTAATCTCTGATCCCAGTTAGAGTTTTCTCTAAACACAAAGCTCTATCTTTCTCACTGAAGTAATGTCCCTTAGTTATTTTGGCCCTTTCTTTAAATTCAAATGTTGCTCCCTGTCAACCAATCATAGAAGTCTGCTGAAGTGCAGGGTAATGAAAGACAGTTGGTTTGTGGTTAGATAATAACTCCTACTTGAGAAGCCTACCGACCACACCTCTTGAGGGCAAAGTGCGTCTTTTAAAGGCAGTACTTTCTCTTTTACAATGATTTTTCATTGGTTAGAAGGTTGTTTGTTTTTTTTAAGAGATGTCCGGGCTTTTGTTTGACTTCACACTTTCATTTCCTGTTCAGTCCCAGTATTTCAGGCTTAGTGTATCCTCAACAGAAGTTAGGCAATTTGTTATTGCCAAAGGCACCATGGCTTTGTAGCAGAAGTACATGCTTTGGTGTAGCAGATCTCATGTTGAATACTAGCTATTGCAAACACCTACATAAGTAATTTGTGGCATTGGGCAAGTCACTTCATTCTGAGCCTCGGTTCCTCTACCTGTAAAATGTAAAATTTACATTTCATAGGTTTTGTAAGCATCAGAGATAATACACATATCAACATGAGAAATGTCCAAACCTGTAAAGAATTTTTTTTTAAAAGAGAGAGAATGAAAGCAACATCAATTTGCTCATGCGTTCATTGGTTGATTCTTGCATGTGTCCTGACCAGTGAGATCAAACCCACAGCCCTGGGGTATCAGGACAGTGCTCCAACCAACTGACTGAGCTACCAGGTATTTTACTGTAGGGAAGGGCTTCTTCAGCCAGAATCCAACAGAAGAATCCAGGATTCTCAGTGGACCGACTAGAACCATAAGCAACATTTTATGTGTATATGCATTTTTCCATGGAGAGAGTTCATAACTTTTCACAGATTCTTGAAAAGGTCCAAAAGATCTTTGAATCACTATTTCCACTATTATAAGAACCACTATTCTAGTCACATAAAGAACCACTGCATGAAAACTCTGGGTATGGGGTAAGTGGGGTAGATGAAAGGAGAAGAATGAACACCAAAGGGATTGGAAAGCTAAGTCACAGACTAGCCAAAGAAAGGCTGGATGGAGTTGACTCGTCAGCTGGGTGGTACCCATTCTTATCTAGGTTTACATGTCAAAACACAACTATCTGTGTCTGCAGGAGCTCTGGTCCTTCACCAGCTTACTCACAAACTCACCAGTCTGCTCCAGAGATTTTACTTGGCCCTGAGTCCTCCAGTTTAACAGGATTTCCTGAAGCTAGTGAGAGATCTGGTGAGCCCTGAACCCCTCTGATCATATCAGCAGATGGAAGAAGACAATTGGTTCTTATAGTCTTTCCCAAAGGAATGTCAGTACATATGGACTACAATGAGCTGTGGCGAACAAAAGAATTCTTTGGGGGTTAAATTACATGTTTATTTTAGGCCCAGTCCTTAGAAGAGAAACTTCTTTTCATCTCTAATCCGCCCAGTGGTGTTGGGGTCACAACCTGATCAAATAAGATCAATGTGTAGGTGGGTGGAGAACCATAGGGGGCACACACTTGTCTTGCACACCCCATGCACGATCACCCCTCTTGTGTTCACACACTCGGCTTGCATGCACCGTCCACTTGACACCCTGTCACAGTACACGACCATCCCGCCCCAGGCCACCCTCCCTCTGGGGAGAGGAGAAACTTCTGACTTCAGAATTTCTTTCAAGGACATAGTACTTCAACAGAGTGATATCTTTGGTCCTCATATAATTAATCACAGTCAACACTAGGTACAATTTCCGAGAGTCCTTCCAGCTCTAAAATTCAAGTATTCTACTCATCATGGAAAATTACTAATGAAAGGACTGGAACAATCAAAGGAGTGTCACACAGCCCCTGCACTTAGTTAAGAAAATGAAGTATATAATGTATCATTAAAAATTTGCTCTAGACTTCTGGTCAAGAGGGAGGCATAAGTAGACGTGTTTCACCTCCTCGTGCAACCGCAGAGAGAATCACAACTATTTCTCAAAACAAATAATAACCAGACCTGTCAGAAAATCAAGCCATATGGTAGTCTAACAATCAAGGATTTAAAGAAGCCACATTCATCCAGATGGATGGCTTTTATAGAGAACCAAAGGATCTGTACCTAATTCACAGAAACAAATACACGGAGGCTGCCAAATTGAGGAGACAAAGAAATATGGCCAAAATGAAAGAACAGAACACATCCCCAGAAAAAGAACTAAATGAAATGGAGATAACCAGCCTATCAGATGCAGATTTCAAGACACTGGTGATGAGGATGCTCATAGAACTCACTGAGTGTGGTAAAAACATCGGGGAAGAAACGAAGGTTACACTAAGTGAAATAAAGAAAAATCTATAGAGAACCAACAGTGGAGAGGATGAAGCCGAGAATCAACTCAACAATTTGGAACACAAGGAAGGAAAAAGCATTCAATCAGAACAGAAGGAAGGAAAAGAGAATTTTGAAAAATGAGGATAGGCTTAGGAACCTCTAACACAACTTTAAACATATGAACATCCAAATCATAGGAGTGCCAGAAGGAGAAGAGAAAGAGAAAGAAATAAAAAACTTAATTAAAAAAATAATAAACAAAAACTATCCTAATTTGGTGAAGGACATAAACATTCAAGTCCAGGAAGTACAGAAAGTCCCAGACAAGTTGGACCCAAAGAGAACCATACCAAGACACATCATAATTAAAATGCCAAAGGTTAAAGATAAAGAGAATCCTAAAAGCAGCAAGAGAAAAGCAGACACTGTACCTCCTCCCACAACCAAAAAAAGGACGAAGAAGAACCCTGGCTGGTGTAGCTCAGTGGGTTGAGCTCAAGTCTGCAAACCAGAGGATCGCGGTTCAATTCCCAGTCAGGGCACATGCCTGGGTTGCAAGCCGGTTCCCTGCAGGCCAGTCCCCAGCAGGGGATGCACTAGAGGCAACCATACATTGATGTTTCTCTTCCCCTCTCCTTCCCCTCTAAAGATAAATAAATAAATAAATATTTTTTTAAAAAGGACAAAGAATTAAAAAAAAAACCAGAATTGATAGAAAATAAACTGTATGGAAGTCCAACAACCAAGGAGTTAAAGAAGAAACATTCATCCAGACCAGTAGGAGGGGCAGAGACTGGCAGCCGGGTAGAGAGAACTCACAGCAAGGCAGTGGCTGGAGGACCAGGATGGGTGAGGCAGCAGCTGGTGGAGCAGGCAGTCCCACATTTTCGTGTGAGTAAACTGGGAGGAACAAGTGAGAAGCGAGTCAGACCATGCAACCCAGGCTCCCAGTGCAGGAAAATAAAGCCTCAAAGCCTCTGACTGAAAACACCTGTGGGGGTTGAGGCGGCAGCGGAAGAAACTCCCGGCCTCACAGGAGAGTCCATTGGAGAGACCCACAGGGTCCTAGAATGTACACAAGCCCACCCACCCAGGAATTAGCACCAGAAGGGCCCAGTTGGGGAAGTGACTGAAATCTGGCAGAGCAGAGCAAGTGCCATTGTTCCCTCTCAGACCCCTCCCCCACATACAGCATCACAACGCAGCAAGGTAGGTTGCCCCTCCCTGGTGAACACCTAAGGCTCCGCTCCTCACTGTGTAACAGGTGCGCTGAGACCAAAAAAAAAAAAAAAAGCCCCAAATGAAAGAACAAATTAAAGCTCCAGAAAAAATACAACTAAGCAACAAAGAGATAGCCAACCTATCAGATGCACAGTTCAAAACACTGGTAATCAGGATGCTCACAGAATTGGTTAAATTTGATTGCAAATTAGAGGAAAAAATGAAGGCTAACCTAAGTGAAATAAAGGAAAATGTACAGGGAACTAATAGTGACGGAAGGAAACCGGGATTCAAATCAACAATTTGGAACAGAAGAAAGAAAAAAACATTCAACCACAACAGAATGAAAAAATGAATTCAAAAAAATGAGGAGAGGCTTAGGAACCTCCAGAACATCTTTAAACATTCCAGCATTGAATCATAGGGATGCCAGAAGGAAGAGAGCAAGAGCAAGAAATTGAAAACTTTTTTGAAAAAATAATGAAGGAGAACTTCCCCAATCTGGCAAAGGAAATAAACTTTCAGGAAGTCCAAGAAGCTCAGAGAGTCCCAAAGAAGGTGGAACCAAGGAGGAACACATCAAGGCACATCATTAGCCCAGTTTAAATATACAGAGAGAATCCTAAAAGAAGCAAGAGAAATGGAGACAGTTACCTACAAGGGAGTTCCCATAAGACTATCAGCTGATTTCTCAAAAGAGATCTTACAGGTAAGAAGGGGCCGGAAAGAAGTATTTAAAGTCACGAAAGGCAAGGATCTACATCCAAGATTGCTCTATCCAGCAAAGGTATCATTTAGAATGGAAGGGCAGATAAAGTGTGTCCCAGACAAGGTATAGCTAAAGGAGTTCATCATCACCAAACCATTATCACATGAATTGTTAAAGGGACTTATTTAAGAAAAGGAAGATCAAATTTATGAACATTAAAAGGGCAACAGATTAACAACTATAGAGAGCTGAATCTAAAAAAACAAAGCAAACAAGCAGAACAGGAACAGAATCACAGATATGGAGATCATTTGGAGGGTTAACAGTGGGAGGGGGAGGGGGGAATGGGGGGAAAGGTACAGGGATTAAGAAGCATAATTGGTAGATACAAAATAGACAGGAGATGTCAAGAATAGTATAGGAAAAGGGGAAGCTGAAGAACTTACACATATGACCCATGGACATGAACTAAGGAGGAGGGTTACTGGAGGGAAGGGGATACTGGGCAGAAGAGGGAAAAACTGGGGCAACTGTAATAGCATGATCAATAACATATGTTTTTTTTAAAAGAAAGAAAGTATGAAGCAAAATGAGCTGGGAAAATTAAAAAAACTGCTCTAAGCCTTAGGCTGTGTGACTCAGTTGGTAGGAATGTCATCCGGTAACTGAAAGGGTGCATATTTGATTCCCACTCAGGGCACATACCTGGGCGGCAGGTTTGATCTGTGGTCTGGGCATGTATGATCCTCAGTCCAAGCTCATACAGAGGGCAACCAATCAACATTTCTCCCTCGCATCGATGTTTCTTTCACTTATTCTCTCTCTAAAAAAGCAATGTCCTAGAGTCAATATTTTTTTAAATTGCTCTAAGATATACAAAATGTCATATTTCTTTATTCCCAAGCAGCCAAGATTACAAGGAATTTCTCCAGCATAAGACTTGGAAAAGGTCTGTCCACTACCTGCATACTGACCAAGTCCAAATGGTCCAGCATCTCCTGTTCATGGAGTTCTCTTCATGCCCTGTTCGAACATTGGGACCTCAGTCACATTCCATCTCACCGGAAGTCTTGTTGCCAGGAGTCGCTGCTTGAGCTTAGTTCTCACAGAACCAACCACCTGTCCATTTCCTTCGGTCTCAGAAGACCACCCTTGTTGAGGTGGTGGGGTTGCTCATTCCCCCACATTTCAACTTTTTGAGCCATTTCATTGCCCTTGAGATTGAAAAGCAAAGCATTTGTTTCTCCACTGAGAGAAGTGAAGCCATAGACTTCCAGTACAGAGAGCTCTATTTCCCCCTTGAAACAGCAAAAGAAAAATTACCTCTCAAGAAAATGAGCCCTACTATGCACCAGATACTTTGTTAGAGACTTTTAACAACTATTTTGTTTGAGAATCCTCTCACAGCTTACAGATGAGGTATAGGAAACTAATAATGACAAGTTGTATAGGAATGAACAGTAGTCACAACTAAAATGTCTCAAGCACTTATTATGAGCCAGGCATTGCTTTAAGTGCCTCAAAAGCACTGACTCGTATCCTCCAGAACCGTGCAAGGTAAGTACTGTTCTTCACCATTTTACAGGTACAGAAACAGAGGCAAAGAGAGGGTAGATGACCTGCTCGGGTCCACAGCTAGTTTGGGATCTGAACCCAGGCATCTTGGCCTGAGAGCCTATGATCTCAGTGACTACTCTACGTTGCACAAATGGAGGCGAGTATAGAATTGAGGAGAGACCCTGGAGATACCTAGATGGACTATCGCTGAGAGTGTGTTATCAGGAAAAAAAAGGGTGAGATGAATACAGTGAGATCAGATTGTGAATGGTCTTTGAAGACAAGCAGGAAAATACGAACTTGAAATATAAGCTAAAAAAATGGCCCTGGCTGGTGTGGCTCAGTGGATTAAGTACTGGCCTTTGAGCCAAAAGGCCTCAGGTTCAATTCCCAGTCAGGGCACATACCTGGGTTGCAGGCTGGATCCCTAGTTAGGGGCATGTGTGATGCAGCAGACTGATGTTTCCCTCCACCCTTTCTCCCTCCCTTCCCCTCTCTCTAAATATAAGTAAATAAAATATTTAGAAAACAAAACAAAAAAGCTAAAAAATGAGTGTGTCTTTTTGTTCCACCTGTCAGCACTGTAACATTCACAGGTTCTTAATGCAGGATCCATGAATGGACCTCAGAGAATCTTGAACCCCCTGAAATGTTAGTGGGTTTGTAGCAATATACATGTTTCTAAGGGGAGAAATCAATAAAAAATGTTAGCCCTGGCCAGGTAGCTCAGTTGGTTAGAGCGTCCTCCTGATACGCCGAGGCCGTGGGTTCCTTATAGAGTCTGGGCACAGACAAGGATCAATCAATGGATGCATAAATAGGCCGAACCACAAATCAATGTT